ATTCATATTCATATTCATATTCATATTCATATTCATATTCATATTCATATTCATATTCATATACTCCCATATTCATATTTTCATATTAATATTCTCATGTTCATATTCACATATTCATATTCGTTTTCTCATATTTATATTCTCATATTAATATTCATGTTTATATTCTTATAGTCATATTCTCTTATTTATATTCATATTCATATTTTCATATTCATATTCTCATGTTCATATTCACATATTCATATTCGTTTTCTCATATTCATATTCTTCTATTAATATTCATATTCATATTCTTATATTCATATTCTCATATTCATATTATCTTATTTATATTCATATTCATATTTTCATATTAATATTCTCATGTTCATATTCACATATTCATATTCGTTTTCTCATATTTATATTCTCATATTAATATTCATATTTATATTCTTATATTCATATTCTTATATTCATATTCTCTTATTTATATTCATATTCATATTTTCATATTCATATTCTCATGTTCATATTCACATATTCATATTCGTTTTCTCATATTCATATTCTTCTATTCATATTCATATTCATATTCTTATATTCATATTCTCATATTCATATTCTCTTATTTATATTCATATTCATATTTTCATATTCATATTCTCATGTTCATATTCACATATTCATATTCGTTTTCTCATATTTATATTCTCATATTAATATTCATATTTATATTCTTATATTCATATTCTCATATTCATATTCTCTTATTTATATTCATATTCATATTTTCATATTAATATTCTCATGTTCATATTCACATATTCATATTCGTTTTCTCATATTTATATTTTCATATTAATATTCATGTTTATATTCTTATAGTCATATTCTCTTATTTATATTCATATTCATATTTTCATATTCATATTCTCATGTTCATATTCACATATTCATATTCGTTTTCTCATATTTATATTCTTCTATTAATATTCATATTTATATTCTTATATTCATATTCTCATATTCATATTATCTTATTTATATTCATATTCATATTTTCATATTAATATTCTCATGTTCATATTCACATATTCATATTCGTTTTCTCATATTTATATTCTCATATTAATATTCATGTTTATATTCTTATATTCATATTCTCTTATTTATATTCATATTCATATTTTCATATTCATATTCTCATGTTCATATTCACATATTCATATTCGTTTTCTCATATTCATATTCTTCTATTCATATTCATATTCATATTCTTATATTCATATTCTCATATTCATATTCTCTTATTTATATTCATATTCATATTTTCATATTAATATTCTCATGTTCATATTCACATATTCATATTCGTTTTCTCATATTTATATTCTCATATTAATATTCATATTTATATTCTTATATTCATATTCTCATATTCATATTCTCTTATTTATATTCATATTCATATTTTCATATTAATAATCTCATGTTCATATTCACATATTCATATTCGTTTTCTCATATTCATATTTTCATATTAATATTCATATTCTCATATTCATATTCTCTTATTAATATTCATATTCATATTCATATTCATATTCATATTCATATTTTCATATTCATATTTTCATATTCATATTCTCATGTTCATATTCACATATTCATATTCGTTTTCTCATATTTATATTCTCATATTAATATTCATATTTATATTCTTATATTCATATTCTCATATTCATATTATCTTATTTATATTCATATTCATATTTTCATATTAATATTCTCATGTTCATATTCACATATTCAAATTCGTTTTCTCATATTCATATTCTCATATTAATATTCATATTCTCATATTCATATTCTCTTATTAATATTCATATTCATATTATCATATTCATATTCTCATATTCATATTTTCATATTCATATTTTCATATTCATATTCGTTTTCTCATATTCATATTCTTCTATTAATATTCATATTCATATTTTTATATTCATATTCTCATATTCATATTTACATAATCATATTCACATATTCGTCTTTATATTCATACTCTCGTATTCATATTGTCATATTCATATTCTCTTATTAATATTCATGTGCATATTCTCATATTCATATTCTCATATTCATATTCTCATATTCATAATCATATTCATATTCACATATTAATATATATATGAATGTATGTAACTTATGTATATATATTACTATTTCTATTTCATTATATTAATTAATAACATTATAAATTTTGCGGTATAATATAGAAGCATATCCTCAGTAATAGAATACTGTATTTGTTAATTCTATTGAAATAATTCAATTACTAATAATTTAATTAGTCGGTTTCAGTTTAATAGATATTATTTTTGGTGTGAGAAAATCAAACAAATTTTTGGAATTGAATGACTGCATAAGCAAATATTCATTTATACGGATGTAAGCCAATACCTGTCATATGAATTATATATAAGTTCGTTAAATATACACTTCCACTGTACTGAATATTGAACTGCTTGAGTTACAATATTTTTTATGTATGAAATAATTTTTGTTTGAATAAAATATCTTTGCATAGTGAAGTATAAGTTCTTTTATTAGTAAAATATATAAAGAAAATGAAATAAGTTTGAGAAGGGCATTGTTTAACACATGGTAAATAGTTCTATGTAAAAGACAATAATATTTTATTCAGATATATTAAATATGTTTAGTTTTCCCATGGGCCAATAAATTGTGTGTTCGCTCATTGGCCTTTATAATTCTGCTGTTATATACAAGGTCATACTTGGAATACGAAGTCAACTTCCAATAACGTTGAAGACGAAGGCATGCGGCTGTGTCGACCAATGATACTGCGGTGTGAAAGAGAGGTAACATTTGTAAAAATGCTCGAAAACAAATGTAGAATAATTGCTTATTCACTCATTTCTTAATTACCTACGAACGAATAGAGGATATACCTCTGCTATGTTAATACACTCCGCCCTACTTACAACAATTGATCCAGCAAATCATTAATATAGACAAAGCAACAAAAAACATATGAGCAGATGATCTTCAAACCACACACACGTGTTACGCCAGCAATATTAGCAAATTAATAGTATGGCAAAGCAGTGTTTGTTTTGGTTAAGAAGGAAAGCGACATACGAAGACGTGCAGGCAAGCTTGCAGTACTCCAGTCTATTAAAAGAAAATATATGATCAGTTAAATATTAGCACTGAACCGGGGAACAGTATATGCTTGACTAAATTATGTGTAACTTATTTTAGCAAAAATTATAATTATAAATATAAATAAAAATATTAGAACTAATTAATACATATTAACCCTTGTGAGCACATAATTAAATGTGCGATCAGTTAATTACGTTTAGTGTTTACATTATTTGTGTTTTAAATTGATTTTTATTGCAACAACAACAACAACAACAATAATAATAATAATAATAATAATAACTTCAACTAAAATAATAATAATAATAATAATAATAGTAAAATAAAAGAGTTTACGGAGAGTTGTATATTAATGAGACATTTTATTAATTGAACCCTTTTATGTTTTATAACTAAATAACATTATATAACTCTGTTTCGGATAACTGTTTGTGTCTAAGATCATCAAATGAGCTAATTGTTTAAAAGTATAATTTCTGTTTTTGTGAACGAATCTCGTATCAAATTGTTGATCAAATACAATATATGTAACGACTGAAGTGCTAAATAATTTTGCCTCATTGAAATGCACCTGTAGCACTTAATTTTGCTTCTGCTGCCAAAATTGTAATTATGTTCAATATAACTCATTTATGGAGTGATAATTAAACGTGCTATAAAACTGAAAATAGATAAATAAAACGTTAGTTTGTGTGTGTTTACAGTAAACAATTTTCAACGTGGTTTAATGATGAATTCAAAAAAAAGATCTCTCAAAGAAGCTATAAGGTGTAATAAAAGCTTTGGCAAATAAACGATAGAAATGTTTTTTATTATTAGAATAATAATAAAATGCATAGAAAAAAATGAAATAATTTATTTATTCGGTAAACCAATCAAATTAACATAATTTGTAAAAACAGAAATAAAAAATATACGTGTTCATTACCACTTTAACTTTGAAAATTTTGTACTTCATTCAAACCCAGCTGCTCTCGGATATTTAATTATTAATAAATAAAACAAAAAAAAAATTTATATATATAACTATATACATATATATATATATATATATATAATTTTAATCTACATTAGTGAATACTTTTGCGCACAGTATAAACATTATAATCAGTCATGGAATTGTCTCTTGTGTTCTATGCTTCGTTGATAGCGCTGTGCACGTGCTATGCAGCAGAAAATCAAAAGCACAAAACCGGTAGGGGCTCGATGTGGTGGTAAGTAAGCTAACAGTCTACAAATCTCAAATCCTTAATTTCTAAACAAATTTATTAAAACTATATATATGTATCTACATATATGTATGTATATTTTGTGAAAATAACATAAAATAACTAATAAACATAAAATGATTTGCTTAGTCATTTTAGGCTGAGTACGGAATACATCGGGAAGTTTGTTGCTTTAGTCTTGTGAGAGTAATTCTTCATCGTCATTTCTTGATTTGAATAAAATTAATGTTTGAATAAAATTATTGTGATTTTTTTATTAAAATTTCATTATTTTTTAATACTATATTTAATAAATTAATTCAAAATTATTTTCTTTAATTTCTAATAATTTTTATTATAACAGGAATTATTACAGGCGTTTTGCATTGTAACCTTAAGACCCACTATACCCTCCATTGATAAACCACCTTTTTAATTGAGAAATTACAGTTTTTGACATAATATATTGAGTTTTAACTCATCATAAGATATTATTTATGTGCTAAAATATTTCGTTCTTTATGTATTAGTGCAGATCACCTTTCCAGCACGTGCTTCACGGTTTCTCCTTCCGATTCATAAGACCTACAAGATTATAATCAAAATATTTTCTTCATCTTGATAATATTTTAGCTTACAGTAGTAGTACTGTTAGAGTTTTAGTTATAATTTAAAAGTATTCTTCATTAAATTCAAACGATTCGCATAGCAATTTAAGTAATAAGTTTACTTAAATGATCTGAAATGTGTTAAACCCATTAATAGTCTCTAAACTCCATTAAAGTCACAATATATATATAAATTTTGATATAAATTTAGCAAATAAGTTTATATAAATGACTTAACATGTGATAAGCCATTTAGTAGTTCCATTTCTTCATTAAAGTCCAACAATCCTAATATCAATTTTGGCAATAACGCTATGTATAGTAAGTAATTTAAAACGTGATAAACCCATTAATTTTATTATATATTTTTCTTGTTTTTTCCTAATAAATAAAGAAATGCTACAATTTCAGAAGCCGTAATATGATTTCAGGATTAGAAATAAAAGTGTTGTTTCTGTTCTGGTAGACTTATACGTCTATTTATTACTATTAACTTCCAATATGCCGCGAAATCTATAAAATACATAATTTTTTTTGTTTTTATTAAATATTCTAGACACCTCATTACTTCTTTCATTGTCTCACTGATAAGATTGCAATCCCTGTATAGGCGCCTAGCTATTTGTCATGTTTAATAATATATTCACAATTTCACATTTAACTCAATATGTATATATCGCAATAACTGCGGTATATGTCATTCATAAACCATATACAAATGTGCAAATAAACTTAGATTATTGTAAGTGTAAACATTGTATAAGATTGAAGTGAACACACCTATCAATTGTGTATGCTTCTACTTCTTGGAATATGAATATCTGATCCTTGGACGCCGGCCTTTTCGTCGTCAGTGAACGACTGTCCATGTATTATGTTATTGTGTTATGCTGGTTTATCTTGTAAGTTCCAGATATAACTTCCTACTCCTTTAGATTTTGTATTCTAAATCTAAACGAAACAAAATGTTCGATATTTAAATAATAATTAACTCATATAGCATGGATTGGTGTTTAATACAATTCTTTTTTTTTTTTGTTTTTAGTATTAATCACACTTCCTGGCTATTTATTTACCTAAATTATTGTTTTAAATAAAACGTATTGTACATGACTCATTTTCCACTTATTGAACAAAATATTTTTATGTGAATTTTACAAATATGTATACGTTATCTAGATAAATATAACTATATACATATATTTATACAATAGTATATATATATACAAAATAGTCATGTCATAATTTGCATGAAAAATTTTAGTTCTGTTACAATTTTTTATTACCTTTTCGTATTTATATTTTCTTCGTAATAAAAAAAAATTTTTTTTTTAATTTTAAAAAACGTTGGTGATTAAGATAAATAGGTCGATGACTCTACCAAGAAAACGATTAATGTATATCTTGCATTTACGTGGTATAAGAAAATAATTTAATTTTTTATACACTATCACTATTTACATGACTCAAACGTTCCTGATATGGAAAGATAGAGAGAGGGAGAGAGAAGAAGGATTCAAATCTTAAATAAAATATTACTAACAAAATCATTGTTATATTAAACAATAATGGTGATTATTTATATACTATACTTTTTGAGAACTTGATTTAGATTGCACTAGTTTTTCTCTTTTTTTAAAATTGTTTGAAACGAATCATCCAAAAACTCTCTGTATATATCCTAAAAACAGTATCTTTTGCATACTTCATAAATATTCATGGCACTAAAATTAAATTTACCACTGAAATATTTAGCTGTAAAAATCTGTCATTATTTACAAAAGTTAGATAAACTTAAGCTGCTGCACTCAAATGAATAGATTCATAGTAGAGATTCAGTAGAGAGTAGAGTTAAATGCGTAATTGTATAAAATTAAGATAAGTTTGATTCCTATAGCAAATACGAGTATAATGTTGAATGGTTGTTTAGTATTGGTGTGTTCGCCGAAACCCTTACTCTTTCCTATGATGGGTGGGCATTTGTGTATGCTTCACTTAAAATATACAGACTTCGAATTTATGTATCATAATGCCGCGTTTTCAAAGACAAAATATCCCAGACTTCTTAAAAGCATAAGCATTGTGATTTGGTATTCATCTATTTTATCGAAAAGATTCATCACTTTTTGTTTGATATACTTTTTACCGTATCAATTCGTAGATCTTCACGAATATCTTTATATCTTGTGTGCCTTGGAACATTGACTTATCTCCTAAGCGCTTTGCTTTGGAATGTTTGTATTTCATTAATGGCAAATTTGGCAGGCTTACCGTACATCATACCCAAATATCAATACATTCAGACAGTAAAGACAACAAAACTGAAAATTCATTCAAAAATTTGAGATTAAAAATCAGCAAAAGTAGAATAATACATGAAAATCATAAAGCGGAAATATGTGAATTCGCAGGCACAATTACAAGCTCTACAGAAACTTAAAAATTAAATATATCAAAATTCTCTTCAGACTCGTTTAGAAACTGATTTCAGTTAAAAAACAAAAACAAATACAATAAAAAAGAATAAATACAAATAGAATTAAATGCATTCTAGGAAAGCAGTCAACTCCCAATTTATATCAACATAATAAAACATTATCTTACAAATAGACGACAGCGTTTATAAAGCGACTTGTAGTGGGAATTCGGGAACCTCTGTATATGCAGAACAAATATTCAAACTACGAATATACAGCGACAATAGTCAAATACGAGTATATTAAGGATAACAGGATGAAGGTGGATACACAATGTTTAAAAATTTCAGCCAATAATACATAATATTGTATAATTAAATATTTTAAAAGCAAAAGAAAGCAATTGCCATTCACTAACAAAAAAAAAAAGAAGAAGGTAAACAAAATCAGATCAGACACGGGAATTTTTCAAGAAAAAATTCAATTCTAATGAAATTGCATTTGTTTACGCAAAATGTTGCAACATATCACATTTAACTATAATTTTCTTATCTATCATATAATTTTTTATTTATTGGTCTATTTACTATTCAAGAAAAACATTACCTATTCACAAATTTTATGTACACAGAATTTTCAATTACTTCTGATGCCCGCCGATGCAATCAGTTCGTCGAATGGCTTTTCCATTTCATAAGTAACGGTCCTTTGTCACATCCGCTTTGGCACACTTTTGGACAAAGCGTATTCTAAGTTTCATTCTGTTACCTTTTAAATTATAATATTGCTGCTTTTTTGTGGGTTATGTTTAAATCATTCGTACTTACGTTTGCAAAGCTCTATTTCAATGGGTTGTTGCTAGCTGATCTCTCATAATCGTGAGTTTTCTATAATTCTAGGATATCAAAAGCACCAAATAATGGTTTAATTTAAGTATTAAGCAACGATTTGTAAACAACATGAGTTTTCTCTATTACGTATTTGTAATATCTCCAGTTTTATATCCATTAAAAATGACTGTTGGTGCGCAAGCAACAAAGATTTCTAATTTTGCTCTCTGCCTGTTTTTCATTGACCCACAAAACTACTATAACTATTCGAAAACAGTGCTGGTTCTATAAATACTAATGTCAATAACTGTAACGGTATTTCCTATATCAACAAATAGTTATTTGTTTATTCATTTTCATTAAGTGCAGATACACTAAACTATTTAATTTTATATTCCCACAGTATAAAATATGTAACAATTATATATCGTTTTCATTAAGTACAAATATGCTAAAGCTTGTGATTTTATAATCCATTAGTATAAAATATGTACCCGAATACTATTTATATTTATTAATAATATATTCATTGAGAATATATTCCAAGAAAACATTGTTTAAAAGTTAAAAATTTTAATTTATTAACTCATCTAAACACCTTTATACTCGTATATATAATTCAAACATATATAAGAGTCCTGATCTTTAATTTGTCTCATCATAAGAGCGTAGGTACGAGAAAAACTTAAAAGATAAAGTCACTGAATACAGATGCAGAACCAATGCACAATGATCTAAAGTAATTTCACTACTTTAATTATAAATATATATAGATAAAGATATGTTTATAAAAGTCAGTTTTAACGTCAGAGAGAGAGTATAAAACCTATGTAGTACAACTTCTCTGCAATCTGTTTGTCATTGAATTTCAATTTTCGTTGACTAAACGGAAATTCCCCTTTCTCAATATTCACAATTCAAAATTTCTTGTCTGAGTATCATCTACTACATTATCTGAATATCATCAGACATAATTACCAAATCATCTGCATATAAAAATAACCAAATACTTATTTATTTTCTATTTAAGCACTCGTGTAGGTCATTTAAATATATTATATACAGACAGATACAGACAGATATACAGAAAATAGGGTCGGTGAAAGCAGGCAACTTTGTTTAACTCCTGTGTTTGTATGGAACTTAACTGA